TAAGATTTCCAATTGCCAGTTTCATAGTTTCATCTTCTGGTAGTTCCAGAAAATAATTGCCTTTTTTAATAAGACAGGTTGTCTTCAACCTAAACTAAAATGGTAGTATGGTAAATTATATTTTAATGGATAAAATTATCTATGGATAGGAAAAGAATGCTGTAATTTCATCTCTTCCTATTCACTATTTCCAGGATAGTACATCAGTGTGACAATACTGGTTTGAATCAAATAATAAGGAGGGTAGCCTGGCCAAGAATAAAAAGCTTTTGTTGCAAATAATACATTTTGGAGTCAAATGTTCCTGCTTTCTTCAGATCCTTATGCCAAAGTGAAAGAAAAATCAATGTTTCACCAAGCAGCATATAAAAAAAGTGCCCTCATTCTCACTTGAGGTGACAGATGGGTATTAATTTTGTCAGAATGCTGATTTCTAGGGACTTGATTTTCTTGCTTTTTTATGCTCACAAAAGCTTTCAACTACACTAAAGCAAAAGAGAATATATTGGCTAAGCATTGCTGTCAGCTGGTTTCAAGGAAAAGATTGAAGGAAATGTATGTGCTCTTTGTATCTTAGAAGTAAACAGGAACAGCCCAATGCATTTTTGTAAAAGATGGGAAATATTGTTGAATCCAGAAATCCAAGTCTGATATAAAAATGTTAAATTCAGACTGTTACAAAAATTATCTCTTTGCTTTCCTTCAAAAACTGTAACATGGCTACTTAAATAAAATCAAGAACCTAACAGTATCCCATCAATATCCCATAGCTGAAACCTGGAACTGATTCCCCTAGATTAGGGGTAGCTGACTCGGGAATTTTGGGAGTTGAAGTCCACAAGTCATAAAAGAGCCAAGGTTCCCTACCCTACATGATAATTGCTTCCTTAGTACTATTTTGGCATTACTAAGACATCAGGCTAGAAAGTAGGAGATAGTGAGTTCAAATCCCACCCTAGCCATGAAAGCCAACTGGGTGATCTTGCCCAGTCATTCTCTCTCAGCCCAACCCACCTCCCCAAGGCTGTTGTTGTGGGGAAAATGTTCATGTAATGTTTTCTATGTAAGGATTCACACACTGTACTTAATCCATAATGAGGTAAAGCTTTGGTTTGGGTTTAGCATGTTATGGGAATTCATCCATTGTATTTGAACATAATACTTATTGGCTTAGTCTATTGCTTGAAACCTTGTTTAACTAAATTTTGGCTTTATACAGTGTGAAAGCTTATTCTATGTGTGTGGGTATCATTCTAAAAACAATCCCCGTCAAATATTATTTAACAATGAGTGAGGGAGTTATTTTCCATATTAAAAGTCTACAGTAGATGTTTCCCAAGGAATAATGCAATTTCTGAGAGGCCCCTGAGACTTTTATATTGGAATCTGTCTGGAGTTTGGGATTTATTTGTAAAAGATTATATAATGTTAAGAGCCAGTTGGTGTAGTGGCTAAGGTATCAGGCTAGAAACCAGGAGATCATGAGTTGCATTAGGCACAAATCCAGTTAGGTGACCTTGGGCCAATCACTTTCTCTTAGCCCTAGGAAGAAGGCAATGGCAAACCACTTCTGAAAAACCTTACCAAGAAAACTGCAGGGATTGGTCCAGACAGTCTCAGAGATTGAACAGAAGAAAAAATACAACGCTCACAACTTTGAACAGACTTCATATTTTGTAGAAGAATATGCTTTCTGCTCTTCCTTCATTCTTGTTATATTTATAGATAGTGTGATTGTGACATTGTACTCTAAGCAAGCTTAGGTCAGATTTTCTCTGTTTAGATAGATGGGATAGATAGTTTTCATTTTCTAAAGCTAAAGCCTTTGGCAGAAAGTAAAGGGCTGGAAGGGAATTTTTCTTAAAGAACTCCAGAGAAGGAGAGTCCACCACCTTCCAAGTGATTCCATTCTTGGGCAACGCTTGCTGTTAGATCTGTCTTGATGTTCTGCCAAAATTTACTTCCTTATAGTTCAAATGTATCATTTTGGGTACTGTCTTCTGAAATAACTCTGAACAATGCATCATGACTTCCTGCAGTCATCTCCAAGCTAAACATACGCAGTGTCTTCAACTGTTCTTCCTAATTCTGTATATCATTTTGATTACTATCCTGTACGTGCCATCTGATTTCTCAGTGCAGTGCCCCAAACTGAAGATAGTGTTCTAGGTGTAGTCTAGTCAATATACAAGAGTAAAAGAAGGATGTCATTTCTTGATTCTGACATTAGATTTAGTTTTAGTTGAAGCTTCTGGTGATTATTGCTTTAACTAACTATGATAATGAAAACATTATGGTAAATCTTCCTATAACTTCAATGTTACTGATAGGTATCCTGTGATATGCACTTCAAGCTATTTGCCAGGCATTTGGTAGCAGCTCTCCAATGATGGAACATTCTTATGGTTAATTTCTTGATATCCATGGGGTTCAAAGATCTATTTTTCATCTTTGTTTCTCAACAGGAGTTAGTCGTGGCACTGAGTCACCATGTGGTTCAGTATGAAACCAATTTCTGTACAGTTGCCTTACAGTTTATGGAAGAAGAGAAGAACTATGCATTGCCCTCACCTGCTGCTCCAGGTACTCTATCATCTTCTTTGCAGGCACAAAGTTGTAGAAGTTGATTTCTTTTTAACAGGAAACTGAAAAAAACTGATAAAAAAATCTGTTTTCTTCTCCCATTTTCTTGAATCGTATTAATTTATTTGAGGTCTAAAAGTGCCAAAAAAAATCCCAATTCTGTTGGAAACTAAGATAAAAAATAAAATTCAACTTGTTTGAAGAGTTTAAACTCCCCTAGCATTATGTTAATTCATATGTAACACCAGCAGTTTATTTTTTATGTAAAGCATTTATACCCTGCTGATCAGTTTAAGAAACTCCTAGAACAGCTTACATAACAATATTTTTAAACAAAAACTCAGTCCCTGGGTTTTTAGCTTTACAATCGTATAGCATCAAAGAAAAAGAAGATGGGGAATGAAAAGGAAAACCAGAAAACAACTTCTCAATGTTTCATGATTCCTGCAGAAGGCAACTGTGATAAGAAACAGCCAAAGAATACCCTCAGCAGCAGAGCATGGCAGTTGGCCTTGCTGACCGTTGAAAAAGATCCCCAACCAGATGTTTAGATGTAAGTGAGGAAAGGCCTACATTCAGACTAGGATATTTCATGTTCCTTCTGTCCTTTCTCCTAACACATTTAATTTGTGTGAAAAGATTGTAAAGGTCCAGGACAAACTATTGTTGGCCTTCCCTTTCATAAAATGTCATTATTAATATTGTGTATCCTGTATAGTTTGGGGGGCAATTGGTTTATTTAGATAAAAGCTTCCTGCTTTTCATTTACTCTTCCCTGGAATAGTGCCTTCCTCCAAAAATATTAAAATAGTCTCTTCCCTCCTGAATTTCAGAAAGCCTAAAAACTTAGTTGTTCTATTAAGTCTTGAGGGCAGGATGTTGTGACTATTCTTCTGCACAGCGATTAGATTCTTTGGTTTAAAGTCCCAATTTATTTATGTGCTTTATAATTTTTAGTTAAGATTTATTTTGTTACTTATGTTTTCTTTAAATCTATTAGAAGATTGCAAAATTATATGTTGCTTGGAGTAAATTTGTTTGAAATAGTTTATATGTACCCTATAAATAAAATGTGTACGTTAATAGCTACTGTGCCTTAAAAAGGGGGAGAAGGGTGCATTTTAAAAACTGGAAACATAGATCAACATTATTTTGCCTTCTTTTTATACAGGAAGTAAATGGTTATAAATAAAATGCACAAAAAGCTTTCTTTGGTGTGCATTATGAAAGCCTTTTTATAGCCAACTAAGTCTGCCTTTTGGAGAAAAATAAGATAAAAAAATAATAACAATTGCAAGCATTCATAATATAATGGAATTCTTTGGGTAAATATTTAGGCAGGAAAAAGATCATTAAGCTTTTTTGTTTGTTTGTTTCTCTTTTATTATAATATCCAGACTCGCACCTCAGCAGTGATACATTGCTGAACTCAAATGAGGTCAGCTTTGTTTGGGGCTGTCACGTAAATCTCATTATAGCTAATAGACCTTGCACAGTAGCAGTCTGTACATTTTCCTCTACTTTAAATAAGGAAGTTGAAATGGCATCTCAGTTTTAAAATGTTACTTATGAAAAATCCCATTAATTGTCCCATTGATACTAAACTAGTACATTTATCCTATTAATACTAAACTAGAACATTTATTAAAAGGAACAAAGAGAAGCAGTTTAGCCGTTCAGTTTGTTGCTTGTGGAGTCCTTGTGCTCTCTGAGCTTGGTTGTTTTCTTACAGGCATTTTATTACTCTGCTGTGCCATTGTTACTCTTCAGTGCCAGAAGGGAGTAGAGTTTGCTGTCTGTTTATATATAGGGGCTTGCTCTGTCGGTGTTGGTGGGAGTCTTGTTTTCTTCTTGGTAGTTCCTTGACTAAGCCATTGTTTAATGTTTATTTGGTTGTTTACCTATGTTGATTTGTTCCCTTGATTTGTTACCTATTTGTGCATTGCCTAAAAGATTTTTTAATTATGTACTTATTTATTAAATGAATATGCCATCCATCTCCCAGTTCGAAGCAACTCTGGACTGTAAAAGATAAAAGCCATGGGGAAACATATGAAAAAGAACACTGAGGCTAAAAGAAGACATAGCACCAACCAGCTGCCACCCAGTTAATTTGAAACTACACGGGTGGCAAATAAGCTAAATAAATAAATGATAAAACTTTATCTAAGGGGCAGCAGTGACTACTATTATTGACTTACTTGAAACTATTACTGGTTTGCTATTTTGCGGGGATAAATATTTATATTGCCTCCATAGAGATTGGAAGTCTGACTCCAGTTCGAGATAATCCATGTACTCCAAAACTCCGTTCTGTCAGCTCCTATGGAAATATTCGAGCAGTCACTACAGCAAGGAACTTGAATAAGTCTCTGCAGAATCTCAGTCTGAATGAAGAATGTAAGATAACTTTTCATTTTTTTTAAAGAAAAAAAACCTTATACTTTGTGTGCATCTGGGTCTACAGCAGAAATGGCACAGTTAAAAGTGGACAGTGTCTCTAATTACTGTTTGTGAATAGTGTGACGTGGGATTGGAGCCTGAAAATCATGACCAGAAGTGGATTCATTGGCATAGTGATATATCTGTCCTCTCGATTATAGTCCCTATGCCTCTCCCAAAACGAGTGCTGAAAGAGAAGGGAGAGAAAAAAGAAAACATCTTGCAATAACAAAGTTGCGTACATATGTAATATCTTCATCTGATTTTCAGTTAGACGGTCCTCAATTTACAACCATTCATTTAGTTACTGTTTGAAGTTACAACGACACTGAAATAAGTGACATATGCCCATTTTGCACGCTTATAACCATTGCAGCATCCCCGTGTTCACATGATCAAAATTTGGACACTCGGCAGCTGGCATGTATTTATGATGGTTGCAGAGTCCCAAGGTCGTATGATCATTTTTTGTGACCTTCTGAGAAGCAGTGGGAAAGCCATTTAACACCTGTGTTAACAACTGCAGTGATTCACTTAACAACGGTGACAAGCAAGCTCATAAAATGAGGCAAAACTCACTTAGCAACTGTCTTGCTTAGCAATGGAAATTTTGGGCTCAGTTGTGGTCATAATTTGAGGACTATCTTGTATATTCCCTTATCTAGAAGCCAGTCCTGATGCTGTTCTGCCGTATCAAAAAGGTTCTTCGGCCCATAGGTAGTTTTTCAGGGAAAACAGGTAGCCGCAGCACTGAAAAAAAGAGAAGAAGAAAAAATCCTCTTTTTATGAGTTTCTTTTCATGTGCAGATTTCAGGACAATCATAGCAGCCAGTTCCTTGGTGGAGGGACATGAAATCAACATGCCTCCCCCACCTATTATTCCTTAAATTTCATTATTTTAATCTTTTCCTGCTTTTTTTTTTTTACAGAAAAACATGTATCTTGCAGGAAGTCCCAAATCATTCATGCATCCCCAAAATATTTCCACATTACAAAGTTGCCCATGTCTGCTAATTTCTGCTATCAGATAAGTTTTAATATTTAAATTAGTATTGGTATGATCTTTTGTCTCCATTACTGAGCATACCGTGATATGACACCCCTTCTGAAATAGTGTTTTTTGACTTTTCAAGAATAGAGACAGAACTGGTATGTTAATTTATAAAATAAAACTTACTGAGAGGAAGCTGAGCCTCAGACAGATGGAGCCTGGTGGCAAAATGGTGGAATTAATGTGTGATGCCACATTGCAGTCACTAGGATTTCTGCATGTGGCTAATAAATAACCACTGCAAAACCAATATCTCCCTTCGCCCTCAAATTTCCATATGTATTCATACTTTATGGAACATAGTCCGTGCATACATGTTTTGTTCAGTGTCTGCGTTCTTATTTTTATTCAATAGCTGGAAGCTCTGTTGCATTTTCCCCTGGGAATCTGAGCACCAGCAGCAGCGCCAGCAGCACCTTGGGCAGCCCTGAAAATGAAGAATATATCTTGTCTTTTGAGACGATTGACAAGATGAGGAGAGTTAGCTCCTACTCATCACTGACTTCTTTGATAGGTAAGCCTAAATGTTTTCAAGCCAGATTATTGATAAAACAGAGGGCAGGGTGAAAAGGTCGACAGTTGCTCCAAGCCAACATCCTTGTGGTAGAACGAGTAGAAAATAACGATTGGAAGTTTTGGGGAAAGAACATGTAGATTTATAACGATGCAACAATGTTCATGTGGGCCTGTGTCTATTTTCTATCCAGGATATTTTTTTCTCCTAATTTAAGCAAAAGAAGCAAATATTGATTGGAATTTATAACGGAGCTATTAAACAGGCAGCGCATGGCATATGGCCTATGGTCTCCTCTTAACTCACTATTTGGTAAGATGACATTCTTATAATCAGCAACATTCCTTTCTAATTTGTTTGTTGATTACTCAGTTTGTATCTCACTTTTTCCTAGCTAAGTAGAAAAAGTCAGGAGCAATCTAGCCAAGCTAGCATAGCTTACTATTACTACAATGGTCACTTAAGCTCTTTGGGCAGGATAGGCAGTCACCATCTTAGAATAAAACTTCTTTGCCTGTATCATGATGCCAACTGCACAATAATGTTGTTGACGGTTCAGATTAAAGGTTCCATGGATGTGGACTGTGAGTGTGTGCCATTCCCTTTGCCCAAGTATCCTTATAAAATTCCCTGCCACCGTCATTAGAAAATAAAGAAGAGGCACAACTATGATAGGTTGAAAATAAGGGGTCAAATCCTGACATTTTTAGGTAGAAGGATCAAGGAACATACCAGGCTGGATGGACAAATAGCCTAACCTAGATTATTCGGCATTTCTTTCAAGAAGAAGCAATGGCACTCAGTGTTTAATATGAATATTACCAACTTACAAGGGATTAGAAAGGTTGTTTTTAAAACTGCTATCTATTATTTTTCATTCCTGCCTTCTGATCACCAACTCTACAGCTACTCTTGCATATAATATGCTTTGTGGTGACTGGGATTCTTGGGATTATTCTTGGGATTATGATCTAACTAAATTACAAGTCACATTGGGAATATAATGTTGGAAAAACTGCAATATAGCCAATCAAATTCAAAAACATTAAAAAGTGAAATTACAAAAGAACAAGAAACTGACAAATACTTTTATTTGTTTGGGAAACAGAAAGAAGAACATATTGTCTGCAGAGGATGAAAATTGTGCCCTTTATATCATCTCTTTTACAATACTCTTGTCATCTCAATTGCTCCTTTTGTAAAGCTTGATATTTCCCCATTGTTTTCTTCAGATGTTCAAAAGAGTTTAATTTGTTACCTGAGTTTCAAAAGAGTTAAAGTCAAAGAAACTAAAAATAAGCAAAAAAAAAAGAGAGAGAGAGTGATCCAAAGCAGTTTTCCAATGCCCCCCTTATTCGTATTCTGCCAGGAACCGCTCACATCCAGCTGTAAACAACATAGCTTCTGGAAGTGGTTTAAAATTCATAACTTACACAAAATTCCATTACTTTCAGCACTTACCTTTTAAATGATGGGGATTCTCCCCCCTCATGACTTCTTTCTTCCACCTTCCCCCTTTATAGAAAAGTCTTCCATCATTTTACCTACAGTGCAAAGAAAATCATTTTAAAATTGTGAACTATCCACATGCTTGACTTTAGAGATGGCAGATTTACATTGATTCTTAACAAAGCTGCAGAGTAGTGTTACCCATATAAAAAATAATAATATTTAGCAATATAGTTGTGATTTAGAAGAGCTCCTATAGTTGACTGAGAAAGTTGCTGTTTTGCATAGGTGTGCTCTCAGATTCCATTTTTGGTCTGGATAGCAAGAGTGAGAATGTCTGCAAGGAATCAGTGCTGCTCATGTTAGACCATGGTTGTCTAACTTTTTGGTTTGACCAGGCCACTTTGAGTAAAGAGGAATTGTCCTGGGCCACATGTAAAATATATAATATAGTTAATGGGCATAAATCACATAATGATACGTTTTGTCAGGTGCAAGAAGTCAGGAACCAAGATAAGTTCAAAAGTACTACAAGTTTATTTCAAGAATCTGAACTAGTAACGGTCAAGGAGAATTGGTATCAACAGACTTCAAGGGAGGCTAGAATTGCATCCCTTCGGGAGCCATAGGTACTCCAGATTGATGATACATTTCACACCACCCTCAGGCTCAGCCTGGTGGTCTCGCACAAGTTTACGATCTTGTGGAGCCACATTACTAGCTGTCCAGGGCTTCATGCAGACTGTGGGCTTTGGGTTGGACATGCCTGGGTTAATGCTGCGATACATGACAAATATAGCCCAGAGATGTTGCCCAGAGATAGATATATCTGACACCATATAAGGCTGTTTGATATGAACAGAACCTGCACCTAATGCTTTAGCATATGAAACTTATCCCAATTACAGTACATCCCATTAATTTGTCATCTTTAAAATTATGGAATTAGTATCATTATGCATGGTGCTTAGAGATTAACACCAAGCTTTAATGCAGACCTCCTCCTGAAATTACCAGAAATTGTACTTTCTGATGAGACAGAAGGGAGAAGAATATTAAACATATTAGCTTTAATTACACTGAAACCAAATCAGATGTAGTTTTATGCTAGCTCCACCAGTTCTTTATGTATCCCCCCAGCATACCACTTGGAGGTCAAGTGAAGGTTCAGCTTAAAAAGGGTCACACATCTATGGCTTAGAGGATAAAAAAAATATAGATCCCAAGGAGATTCAAATTGAACATTTAACACACTGGAGGGGAGGAATAAGGGCTGCAGGAGCAAAGTAATTAAAGAAATGATATTCATTATTTTAGTTAAGCTTGAAAATTGGAGCACGTCTATCATGGGATCAGTAGGATGGATATCATTAGAGAAGAAAGTAACAACACAGAAAAATGTTTTGAATTCAGGTCGTTGCAGTTTTGAAAAGGATATGATGATCAAGGGGAGACAGAATAGATTTTGATGAGGGCAGCAATACATAAGGCAGTTCATTGGAGAGTTTGCCCTAAGACAGAGGTCAAAAGAAAAAGACAAGGAGCTGATTGGAGGGGAGTCATGAGTGTAATCGCAACGAAGAAGAAAGCAAGGCAATATTAAGGTCTGAAACAATGGTTAAGAGCTCTACAATATCCGGAGATGTACTGTAAAGGGTAGTAGGTTCCCAATGAATTAATTTCAGAGGCAGAAATGCAGTGGGATGCAGGCAAGTGAATGGGCAAAAGATGATCAGATCGCACTTGTAGGAATGCCACAACTATTAGAATATGCTTTAAAGGAGAGAGCAATTGCAGTGTCTTGGGGAAAGCAGAATCAAAAGTTGAAAATATTAAGAATGGAAAAATCAAAGGCAGTGATGGGTCCCCTGGTTTAGGAAATGACAGTTCTCAAGAAAGAAAACAAGGAAAGCCAAAAGGATGTAATTAGGTGATATATGCTGGAAAGAAGTACAGGTGGTCCTCAACGTACGATCACAATTGAGCCCAAAATGTATGTCGCAAAGTGAGAAATTTGTTAAGTGAGTTTTGCCACATTTTACAACTTTTCTTGCCACATTTGTTAAGTGAATCATTGCAGTTGATAATTTAGTAACAAGGTTAAGTGAAACTGGCTTCCTCCTTGACTTTGCTGGTCAGAAGGTTGCAAAAGGTGATCACATAACCCTGGGACACTGCAGCGATCATAAATATGAACCAGTTACCAAGCATTTTAATGTAAATCACATGACAATAGAATAGAACAGAACAGAACAGAACAGAATGGTATGGGAAAAACAGAATCCATAATTATTTTCAAAATCACCTTATAAGAAATGCTTTGTTAACAGTATGGGGAAAAAATTAAAGCTAAAATATATCTAAAAATTCCAGGGTAGTTATCAACGATGGAAGCATTTGTACATCCAAACTTGGTAGATTTTGAAAAAATATGGGCATATAGAGATATTCTAAATACTGATGGGAATTTAAAATCTAAACAAGAACTGGAAAATCAGGGAATCAACTTGTTATGGTGGGCACATTTAAAGACACAGACTACTATCAAATTTGGGACTTATTTTATTGTTGGTTAGAGGAAAGAATGAAGGATTAGGAATTGAATATATATTAGCATAGCTAATCCCAGACAACTCGTTGATTGGAAAAATTAACATATGTTTATGAAAAAAACCCAATAAAATATTTATAAAAAAATAGAATAGAATAGAATAGAACCTTGGAGGTCTTCTAGTCCAGCCCCCTGCTCAAGCAGGAGAGCCTATACCTTTTCAGACAATTGACTGTCTAGTCTCTTCTTAAAAACTTCCAGTGATGGTGCGCTCATGATTTCTGAAAGCAAGCTATTCCACTGGTTAATTGTCCTCACTGTTAGGAAGTTTCTCCTTCATTCCAGGAGATGCTGCAATGGACCTAAGTTTGAAAAAGGGTCCTACATCACTTTTTTTCAGTGCTGTTGTAACTTTGAAAGGTCGCTAAATGAGCTGTTGTAAGTCAAGGTCTACCTGTAGCAAGGAGTTTGAGGGGAAAATTGGAAAGAGAAAAAGGAAATGTAAAAGCCTCTGTCAACTTGCATTCTTGTCACCTTCACATATATGTCCGTATAATTTTCTTGACAAACAATTTGGAAATGGTTTTGGCTCTGTCTTCTTCCAGGAATTTGTTTTTAATTCCCAGTTGTCCTGCAGCTCTGTTATTTCCTGATGGTTTCTCCTCTAAATAATAATGTTTAAACCTTCTTCCTTAACATACACATACACAACAAAGAAAGCTTTTTGAGATCAAACATCAAAAATGCAGCTTATCTTAGAAGAATTATTTGGTTGAAAAACCACATCCTGCATTTTGGGCACCACTAGGCTCAGTTGAGCCTATGATGAAATGGCTGAAGGATTAGTAAGAAATGATTGTTAATAAATTGTATTTCCTCAGTAGCAACGTTTCTAGGTAGGAGAAATAATCAGAGGAAATGTCCCAAAGGTGCTTTTTTAAAAAAAAGTTTAACTAATTTTTAAGAATTACAATCTTTAGAGCTTAGTAAACAGCATATTATCTGGGTTTACATATTTAACATTAACTTCCTCAATATAAATCTATTCAGTACTGCACAATCCAGTATTTTTTGCTCCTTTCTTCCCCATATTTTTTCCATTTTCCCCTCATTACACAATTACAATTCTTGGTACTATTGATGTATACAAAGTTAGATATAAACATCTTCATCATGTTTTAGTAATATTATACAAATAACAATAATATCAACTCATAAATCAATATCCTGTTTTTCATGCTCTTGTTAAAGTTTGATTTCTGATCAATATTTGAAGTATCTTTATCAGGTGTGATTTTCTCAATATTAATTACATTTATATAGCTAAAATTTTATTCATACCAATCCTCCTCTTATATCCATATTTCCCATATCAAAAGAAGAAAAAAATGCTATTTTAATTCTAAATCATATTTTTCATTATAAAGGTCTAATTATATCATCCGTTCTTTAAATCATATTCAAACAAATATTTAAACATATAATGCCCCCTCTAATAGGTCAGATCTTCTATTTTTTAAATCTAACTCTTGCTTTCTTTCTTTGCCAAGTAGCTTTCCAAACTAAGACAATTAAATCGCTCAGGAATTTTCTTTCTATTTTATGAAAGTTGCTTGGCATGAGGAAGACAATTTATTTAAGTAGGGTATTTTGGGGGATGAATTCCACCCATTTATGTTCCTTAAGCAATTCCCATTTTCCTTCTCCTTCAATTTCTCTTTTCATTTTTTGTCTCCCAAATTGTAACATTTCCCTTGACAGCTCTATTTTCCATTTTTTAAAATCTTCTTCCTTGTCATCAAGTGTATTTTGCAGACTTAAGGAGTAAAGGGTATTTTGCATTTTCATTGTTCTTGCAATATTTTATTTGTATATGTAGCTTATATTTCCCTTCTTTTATCTCTTCCGTCTGTAGGTCCATTTCCTCTGCTTCATCTTCTGATTTCTGGTTTATTTGTTCATACTTTGTAGTCATTGTCTGGGAACTTTCTAGTTGTAGATTTAATTTGGAGATTTGCTCATTTATATTATCTAAATTATTTTTAGTCTCATTATGGTTTTTTTTAATGTCTTCTTTGTATGCAACAATTGTTTGGTGAATTAGTTGCAGCATAGAGTATATTTCCTTCTGAAAGGTGTTTGTTTTTTCTTGAGGCATCATTCCTGGAGATCCTCTAATATCACCAGTCTCAGTAAGAGTAGAACAAAGTTTCCTCTAGTTTTCTGGTCTTTATATGTAGCCTTTATAATCCAGTAGGTTCCAGAATATAGGTTCAGTCCCAAAAGCAATATTTTATAGTGATCCCAAAGGTGCTTTTTAAAGAGGCAACTGGACTTTCTTGTTTTTCTTTGAAGATGTTTCGCTTCTCATCCAAGAAGCTTCTTCAGCTCATTTTCTTCTTCAGAGCTGAAGAAGCTTTTTGGATGAGAAGTGAAACGTCTTCAAAGAAAAACAAGTCCAATTGCCTCTTGAAAAAGCACCTTTGGGACAACCATGACCTGGATGACAGGAATCTCTATAGACATTTAGCAATCAGAGGAAATAATTTTTCAGTATTGAAACTCTCGTCATTCTAAATATTAAGAGATGAAAAATATACTGCTCTACAAATGTTGTTGTTCCTAATTTTCACCAATCCATGGTTGTCTTGAACCACTATGTTTGTGTCACTATTAACTCACTTTATTTAAAAATATAAATACTGCTTATCATGTTCATGCATCTCCAGACATCATGCTTAACTTCGTTTAGCTTGAAAACGAAACCACCTAGATCACAGGTCGGCAACCTGCGGCTCCGGAGCTGCATGCGGCTCTTTGAGCCTTCCCCTGTGGCTCCCAGCCTCCTCTGCCATTTGCAGAGAGAGACAGAGACAGAGACAGGCAATTGCGATTCCCTGCTTCTCTCTCTGCCTCTCTCTCTGTGTGTGTATGTGTGTGGCGTGTGTGTGTGTTGTGTGTGTTCTCCGAGGAGCTGAAAAGCTTATTGGGCAGAGCTCCTCCCTTTGCTGTGTCTCTGCAGGAAGCAGGAAGGGCAGGAGAGAGCTAGCTAGCCCAGCTATGCTGACTCAGGAATTCTGGGAGTTGAAGTCCATGAGTCATAAAAGGTTGCCTGCCTCTGAGCTTGTTGGAGAATAGCTTGAAGCCAGCTTGCCAGGTGAGCAGCAGATGGAGAGAGGGGGGGGAAAGAGAGAGAGAGAGGGAGGGAGAGAGAGAGAGAGAGAGAGAGGAAAGAGAGAGAGTGGGGGAAGAGGACTGGCAGACCAAGGGCAGATAAAGAGAGAGGGAGAGAGGGAGGGAGGGAGGGAGAGAGAGAGAGAGAGAGAAACCCTTTTGACATCTAAAATGAAGATAACACTGCATATATCCTTTTTTACGTGTGTGTGTGTGTGTGTGTGTGTGTGTGTGTGTGTGTGTGTGTGTGTATATATGTTTTCTGAGGTTTTCGCAGGTATTTGTATGTAGGTCTTTGGTTGTTCGGGTTTTCTCCCGCGTAAAATTGGAAGTGTCTTGGCGACGTTTCGACGAAGACCCATTCGTCATCTTCAGGCTGGTGCTTTCAGCTTCGTGCTTTGAGCAGCAATGTGTGGTTTTAGCTGTTTATTCCTTTTAACTGCCAGTGGGGGTATGAACTGATTGGGTGGGAGCTTGGCTGTGTTCTGATTGGGTGGAGGTGTGTTCTGAATGGTTAGGGGCTTGGCTGTGCTCTGATTGGCTGGGGGAGTGTTCTGTTTGGTTGTGCTCAGGTTAGTCTGAGTTGCAGAGGGGTTTAAGATTTTGGGCTGCCTTGCTATTTTCTGGCTTCGCGTTCGTGGTCGTGTCTCCTCTTCATGGAGGGTGTCAGTTTGCTTCATGTATGGATTGGAGGGGTTTAAAGTGGCTAATGATGCAGCTGTGGTCTGGCTTCTGGTTTGTGGTCGTGCCTCATCATCGGTGTGGCTTTGGGTTTGTTTTTTGCGTGGATGTGTGGTGGTGACATCCTGTGTGGTTTTTGTGAGTGTGGGTCTGGTATCATTTTTTGTGTTAGGGAGTCGTTTGTCAATAAGGGCGGGTTTCCAAATGGCTGGTAGGCGGGAGGTATCATCTCGCTTGTTCATGCTGTGTGGGCGTTTTTCTATCTTGATGGCTTCTCTGATTATTCTGTTATTAAAATGTTCACTTTTGGCAATGGTTCTGGTATTTTTAAAGTCAATTTCATGTCCTGTGGCTTTAAGGTGTTGGACCAGGGAAGATGTTGGTTCCTCTTTTTTGACTGAGTTCTTATGTTTTTCAATGCGTGCACTTATTCTTCTGTTGGTTTGTCCGATGTATGTGGTGGGACAAGTGGTGCATGGGATTTCGTATACTCCTTGATTTTCTAATTCAATTTTATCTTTGGGGTTTCTAAGGATGGTGGATATTTTTCTGTTTGTGCAGAATGCTGTTTTGATGTTGTGTTTATGGAGGATCTTACTGATTCTGTCTGTGGTGCCTTTTATGTATGGGAGGAGGGCTTTGCCGTTTTCTTGTTCTTTGTCTTGGATTTTAGTGGGGGTTTCTTTTTGGATTAGGTTTGTAATCTTATTTCTATGGAATCCATTGGATGTTAGTACATTGGTGAGAGTGTGTAGTTCGGGTTTTAGGTGTTGTTCGTCAGCTAAGCGTTTTGTTCTGGAGATGAGTGTCTTGGCTACAGAGTTGATCTGTGCTGGGTGGTGGTGTGAGAGAGCGTGCAGATAGCGGTTTGTGTGTGTTTTCTTCTGGTAGATGGTGTGTCCTAGGGAGCCATTGGATTTCTTGTAGACTAAGACATCCAGGAAGGGAAGTTGGTTGTTAGCTTCTGTTTCCATGGTGAACTGTATTTTGGGGTGTAGGCTGTTGAGGTGTGTGAGGAAGTTGTCCAGTTTTTCTTTCCCATGTGGCCAGATTATGAAGGTGTCGTCTACATATCTGAGCCAGAGTTTGGGTTTGTGATCCGATTTTTCTAGAGCTTGGGTTTCAAAGTGTTCCATGTAGAGGTTGGCAATGACAGGTGAGAGGGGTGATCCCATGGGTGCTCCTTCTGTTTGTTTGTATTTTTGTCCATTATAGATGAAGTATGTGTTGGATAGGCAGTGGTTGGTCAGATCTAAGATGTGTTTGGGGGGGTTATATTTGTTTTGAATAGCTGTCAAGGCTTCTTTGATAGGCACTTGGGTGAAGAGGGATATGACATCGAAGCTCACTAGTAGGTCGCTGGGCTGTAAGTTTTGTTTCTTTATGATCTCTATAAACTGGAATGAGTTTTTTACGTGTGAGGTGATGGATTCTGCATAGGGCTGTAGTTGTTTGGCGAGAAATTTGGCTAGGTTTTGTAGAGGTGAGCCTATGGAGCTGACTATAGGTCTGAGTGGGGTTCCTTCTTTGTGTATCTTGGGGAGACCATAGAGTTTGGGGCATCTGGATGATTTCTCTCTGGGAATGATTCTTTGCTGGATCTCTTCGCTAATGGGGGAGGCTTTTATTTTGGATCTGGTGGTTTTTTCCAGGTAGGTGGTGGGATCTGTATTTAGGGGTTTGTATGTGGAGTCTTGGAGTAGGTTGGTTAATTTGGTTTGGTAGTCAGATGTGTTCATAACCACCGTGGCGTTGCCCTTGTCTGCTGGTAGGATTATTATGCTGGTGTCTTCTTTCAGGTTACGTAGTGCTGTCTGTTCCTCTTTGGGTAAGTTGCTTTTGGGTGGCTTGCTGGTGCAGAGGATGTTGGTGATTTCGAGTCTGATTCTGTTGGCGTCGTCGGGGTTGATTTTGGTCAGGCTGGTTTCAACTCCACATATAATGGTTTCAGTGGGGATGTGTTTGGGAGCGACTGCAAAGTTGAATCCTTTGGAAAGGACATTGGTTTCGGCTTTGGTGAGGATCCTATCTGAGATGTTATGCACTGTTTGTTTCATGTGTGGCTGTGAGGGAGGAGGGGTTTGTTTCTGGCGTTCTTGTAGTCTTCGGAGTTTGTTGGTGTGTGTATCTGTCTTGAGGGTGGTCTGTGTTTCGGCTCTCCAGACGGCGAGTTGTTTGGATTTGTCCCAAAGTGCGGGGTGGATCTTGTTGCTGAGTTTGAGGTGGAGTGTGAGGAGATCATTGTTAATTCGGTCTAGGAGGAATCTTTTTGTGTGAAGTTCATTTCTGATTAGGGCCAATTCTGTTCTTTTCATGATCCGTTTGGTGGCTGCAGAGTTGGAGTGGAATTTCAGTTGGAAACATGTGGGGATTAGATTTTGATCTCGGCAGTTGCGTAGGAATGCGAGGTCGCATAAAATGGAAGCTCTTTGGACTTCAAGTTTTTCATAGGTCCTGGTCAATGGTGGATTTCCTCCCCTTAGAGGTTTGATATTTGTTTTCTGAGGTTTTCGCGGGTATTTGTATGTAGGTCTTTGGTTGTTCGGGTTTTCTCCCACGTAAAATTAAACCCCTCTGCAACTCAGACTAACCTGAGCACAACCAAACAGAACACTCCCCCAGCCAATCAGAGCACAGCCAAGCCCCTAACCATTCAGAACACACCTCCACCCAATCAGAACACAGCCAAGCCCCCACCCAATCAGTTCATACCCCCACTGGCAGTTAAAAGGAATAAACAGCTAAGACCACACATTGCTGCTCAAAGCACGAAGCTGAAAGCACCAGCCTGAAGATGACGAATGGGACTTCGTCGAAACGTCGCCAAGACACTTCCAATTTTACGCGGGAGAAAACCCGAACAACCAAAGACCTACATACACACACACACACACACACACACACATATATACACACACACACACAGAGAGAGAGAGAGAGAGAGAGAGAGAGAGAGAGAGAGAGAGAGAGAGAGAGAGAGACCTATAATAAAGGTAAAAAAGGATATATGCAGTATTATCTTCATTTTAGATATCAAAAGGGTTTTGCAGCTCCCGGTGTTTTGTTTTCGGTGGGAAACGGGTCCAAGTGGCTCTTTGAGTGTTTTGGGTTGCCTATCCCTGACCTAGATATATGAAGACATGAATCGGTATAAAAACAAATGAATAAACTTCAGGTATTTACCTGAAAGATACTTCCCAGTGATGTTTACAGAACAGTGTCCCTGTCTGGTGACTGAAGTTTTGATTTTTGTAGTTTTGACGTAAGAAAAAAAGGAAAATGGAGAAAAGGAGATCATTAATAATTGTACAACCTTTTTGTCATTATCATTCAAATATCTTGTCCTTCCACAACAAGCCCAGAGCTGCACAGCACACGCATTCTTATTTTCCCCACCTTTGTAATGCTGATTTGCCAGAGAGAGTCCTTGGGCTCTGGGGCTGAGGAGGGATTTTAACTCCCATCACTCTGGCTGAAGTCCAGCACTTTTGCTGCCACCCTCGGAGCCATTTGATTTGTGGTCCTTGAAACCCTTTGCACAGTTTGGTCATGATTGTTGAAAATCAGCAGCTCAGTACCTTCTTTCATTGTTTTCAGTAAATAGGCACCAAAGCTGCAGTGCAATTAACATTTAAACTGCAAAGAAAAATCCCAGCTCTATCCCAAAAGCACCAAAGAAAGAAAAAGAAACTTTTAGCCTTGTTCTCAGATATGATGTCAGCACAGCCAGTTTTTATCTTTGCATTGTCTACTGTAACCCTCTCCCGTTATCCAAAAAATTAAGTGACTCCCCCTCCTGAATCACCCCACAAGCTCTTTCCCCGCTAAGAAAGTGAAATCTCAAATAAAATTTTAGGGGCTATCTTCCAATAAAAGGAATCTTATTCAGTTGGCTAACTAAATAAAACAAATGACACAAATTTGAAAATTGCATATTAAGAGAGATATTATAATAAAGAATTCTCTCACCTTCAAATCTCCTCTGAGGTTCAAATAATAAAATGGCATTCTGCAGGGTTTTTTTTTAACAACGGTTGCATTGTTTTTTACAAAATTTTTTAAAAAAGGAAATCTGATTGATTAACCAGGACACTATTTTTGTCAGTCAGAATGTTTTAATCATTTAATCTCTGCAGCATTGCAGTCCTTTTTTAATTACCTGTCATATTACAAAATACACATGATATAAGAGAACATACTCATTAATGCAACAGCATAGGATTGAAGATGTATTTTTAGATAGCTGAAGGATTTATACAAAGTTTATTTTACATTGCTCATTCAGGTGCATAAATTTTTCAGTCGTTGATTGCCATAAAGGCTAGCAACAACCTCTGGGGTTTTTTTTTCCTGAACAAAAAAAAACCCTATTCCCCCCTTCCCCCCTATTGCTTTCTATGTATATACCTATTTAGGAGGAGCATCAGCTGGAAGCAGAAAAAGGTCTCACTGTTCCTGATGGCAAGGATGGCTCTGGATCCTCCATTGTGCTCTTAGAAATGCTGCTGAGTATTTTTAACTGTTGCTTCCCTCTGGCTTGGTATATTCAAACAGGAAATTAAAACTGAATAAACCTCCTCTTTGTTGGCAAGGTCAGAGAAAGAACTTAAAGATCAACCACCTATCATCTGCTGCTAATTAATATGTTTTCTCTGTTGCTAGTTAATCTCCTCCCTGGTTAATTTTGAAAGGGGGAACGGTTGCAGGAAATGTTGGGAATGGGTGATGGGGGAGGAAATGGTACATACTTTGCTTTGAGTTTCTAGAAAAGGTAGGGTGTACATCACATGGGTAAATGAATAAAAGACAAGACAAGCTTTACCCAGTGAGTTTAACTCAGACTGTAATTGGTATGGCTTTTCTGAACAAGAGCTCATTTCTGAACTCTCCAATTTAGAAATTTGGCACAAGCGTTGCAACTGCAAATTATGGTGAATTCCTACAGCATTCTCAGTAAGCCAGGCATCTGAGAGAAAGGGCACCACAGCTGCTCTAACTTGCATGTGTGTACCATTCAGCCAGGCTCTTTCAATTGAAGGGGTGGAAAAATGCAAGCCACTTTGAGTGTCCCGATTGCAACTATTAAACTGAATACTGTAAAGGGCCATGCATAGCTGAATGTAATATTAAAAGCTCAGAGCAAAGAAAGGCTATTTACTTCTTGTGTTATTGTTAAAAGGAATCATTTTGCAATTCTCTGTACTGTAAGGCCCATTTAACCAATTTGGAACTGGCCTAGCTAATTATAAAGCTGTCATTTTTATAGAAATTTTATTAAATGTTACAATTTAAAAAGAGCTAATACAAACTTCAAAAAGAATAAAAGAAAAACATGCAGAAAAAAGGAAAAAGCTAGAAAAGAAAGAAAAAGTAAGAATTTAGTAAAGAAAAATATCTAGCTATGGGTATAGCAATAGAAAAAGCACTTAGACTTATACACTGTTCCACAGTGCTTTTCTCTGGGTGGTTTACAGAATCAGCATATTATCCTGAACAATCTGGGTCCTCATTTTACCCACCTCAGAAGGATGGAAGCCTGAGTGAATTTTGAGCCCCTCAGAATTGAACACCTGGCAGTGGGCAGAGTTAGCCTGTAATAGTGCATTCTAACCACTGCACCACCATGGCTCCTATACTAAAACATATAACTGAGTAACTTAATACTAAAATGATTACTAATAATAGTAATATAAAGAAAAATGAGGGGATTCTTCAGATATCAATAGATGGGAGTCATTAAACCTTACCCTGTGGGGAAAGATGATCAGTGTCAAAATGAATATTATTCCCAGATTAATTCACATTCTGAGAGGAATTCTAGTTTATATATCTGGAAAATATTTTCAAAAAATACATTCTTTGTTTACAAAATAATAATAAATAGTAATAAATAGTAATAACAACAACAACAACAATAATAATAATAATAAAAAAGTTGGAAGGGACCTTGGCTGTCCAATCTCTTCTTAAAAACTTGGAGCATTCACAGCTTCTGGAGGCAGGTTGTTCCACTGATTAATTGTTCTAACTGTAAGCTTTTCCTTAGTTCTAGTTGCTTCTCTCTTTGGTCAGTTTCCATCCGTTGCTTCTTGTCTTGCCTTCAGGTACTTTGGAGAATAGCTTGATTCCCTCTTCTTTGTGGCAACCCCTGAGATATTGGAGCACTGCTATCATGTCACCTCTCGTCCTTCTCTTCATTAAACTAGACATACCCAATTCCAGCAACTGTTCCTTATATGTTTTAGCCTCCAGTCCCCTAATCATCTTTGTTGCTCTTCTCTGTACTCTTTCTAGAGTCTCAACATCTTTTTTGCATCATGGTGACCAAAACTGGAAACATTATTCCAAGTGTGGCCTTACCAAGGCATTGAAGAGTGGTATTAACACTTCACATGATCTTGATTCTGTCCCTCTGTTAATGCAGCCTAGCACTGTATTGGCTTTTTTGGCAGCTGCAGTACACTGCTGGATCATATTTAAGTGATTGTCCACTAGGACACCAAGATCCCTTTCACAGTTACTATTATTGCACAAGGAACCACCTATACTATACCTGTGTGTTTGGGGTTTTTTGCCTAAATGTAGAACCTTACTTTTTTTCACCATTGAATTTCATTTTGTTATTCAATTCTGAAAATATCTTTATAGAAAATGTAAATTAATGAGGGGGGTTGGTTTTCTGAATTTGGAGCTATATATTTAACAGAGTTGATATAAATACGGAATTGATATTCCTTAAATGGATGGGTAACCCACTTTTTACCTATAGGTCTCCATTCTGATTTCGGCCGATTAACAGAGTATCCTGCTATTTTACTAAAGCCACCTATCTTTTGCATAAAAGATAATAGTACAAGTTTAAAAATAAACAAAAGAATAAGGAAATTAAACAAATTTGTGTTCAACAGAGTTGCTTACTACTCCATATATCTCCCTGTGTTGTTTAGCACAAGGGTTCCATACCGCATGGATGGATGAGATATCCTTGCCTAGTTCCTCTAAATAATGGAAAGGCAGGAGAAAACATGCCATTAATCTTTACCTTAGATGTAGGTGACCCATACAATATCTGAATCCATTTTATGAATTCCAATAGAAATTTAAATCTGTTTAATACAGCAATCATTTTGTCAAAGGCTTTTTCAGCTTCTGATGATAAAATTGCAAATAGATCTTCCTTTTTATTCATGTTCATTAGATCTACAATTAACCTAATGTTACTTTCTGCCTGCATAATTTTTATAAACCCTGCTTGATCATTGTTAACAACAAACAATATCACTTGATGTAATCTATTTGCTAACACTGCTTTTAAAATCTTTGTATCAATGTTAATCAACAAGACAGGATGATAATTAGAACACTGTGTATTATCTCACCTGCTTTTGGTACAACTGTAATAGAAGCCTGGTTAAATGTCAGAGATAAAATTCTTTTTATCAAATATTTCTTAATATACTTGACAAGATTTTGGTACCAAAAGATATATGAGTGTTTTATATTACCTGACAGGGAATTCATCTAGGCCTGTATTTTAGCACTTGCTATTTTTAAAATTATTTGTTTAATCTCTACCTTAGATACTAGAGCAAATAGAGGTTGATGTTTTGTATCATCTAAACATAAATTAATTTTATTTTAAAAGTCTTCTATCTTCATTCAGTATATTCTCTGGTTTACTGTATAATTCTGAATAAAATTTTAAAAATTGATAATTTATGTCAATTGAAGTTTTATACATTTCATCTCTTTTGATAATTTTAGTAGCTTACCACTTTCTCTTAAAGTATAACAAATGACCTCTTCTTCCCATATCTTATTTCTTATCTATAAATAAATCTTTAAACCCTGATCATTCAGTCCTAGTCATCAAAAATCCATTAAGGATTACCAGTGATAACAACATATTTATTTTAACCTTGATCAAATAAACCTACTTTATATTTCTTCCTTTTACAGTCAACAAGCTTGGTCTTTAATCCCTTCAAATAATGTCCTAGAACTTGATTTCTTTTCATTTTAATTGGATCCTTCTCATAAAGCCTTCAAAACTGTAACATGTCCCTTTGTAAATCCAATATAGATAATTTATCCAGATCACTTCAATTATTAAGATATCAACCAATTTCATTTGTATATCCAATGTAATATCTTTTTCATATCATTCTTTTAGTTTGTCATTTTAAATCCATTTTCATATCATTCTTTATTTTATTGATAAAACATGTTCCTCTTCCCTAACATCTTTTAAACACAGTTTTTCTCCATTCTGAATGAATGAGTCAAATTTAAGTATTCTTCTCCTTTAATTGCAATCTTTAGTTCCTTCTGGTTTCCCCTAGTTTCTAACTTTCAAAGTCCCATCCTATAATTTTTTAAAAAAGAATTTAGAACAACAGCATTGTCCCATGGACAGATTCTTATAATTAATTTCAAAATCTTATTTCAAATCAACCTGGACCCTTAGTCTATTGGTAACTTTCCAAAATCAATATTCTAATCACCCTTTTGCTATATATTAAAAAAAAATCTAAGTCTTTAAATTTATCTTTAATTTTTTTTTTTTTTTTTGGTAAGGATTGAAACTTGCCCAAGAGTTTCCTTGTTATTGCAAAGATCTCTAATACGGTAGCTAAAAAGTAGTTAAGAAGTAATTTTGAAAGTGATTAAGAAATGAGACTCATCAAACCTTATGTCTACATAGGATGCATTATTTATTTATTTATTTATGAGACTTATATATTGCTTTAAGTGCAAGCACTCTCTAAGCTTGAGCCGGTGAGATTTGAACCGCTGACCTGCTGAACACAGTCAGCTAAAGTGGCCTGCAGTACTGCACTCTAACTGCTGCGCCACCTCGGCTCTTTTATGTTTGTAAACTTGATTGAAACCCCTAGGCTCATATGTCAGTCACAAAAAATTCAGTTTCTGTAGTCTTCCCCCAAAGGGGCACCTGTCTAAAGTATAAGTGGGTGATTTCACAATCTCTGTTTTTTCCAGAGAGTTTTTACTGCCCAGAATTCACCGTCTGGCTGCTGATCCTGCTGCAGTGTCATCCTTGTACTTTTAGGGATGTCTATTTTGTCATGAACCTTCACTGAAAGTCCCACAGAGCTGTCATTTTAAATGTACTTTTAGCACATATGCTTCTGCCATGTGCTTTGTCTCTGCATCCCTTTTTATCATTACAATCTCTAATGCAAAAATAGAGCTTTTTTCCCCTCCTGCTGTTAGTATTTCTTTTCATCAGTGCACTGACTCAGTCAGTTCAAGCTTGACAAGCAGCTAATTTGCATGCCTCACTCAAGGGGCTGTGAGCAATTTTTTTTTCAATGAAAATAAGGAAGAGGGAGAGCAATGAATCTAAAAATTCATAGAAATTCCTTCTGTTCTCTTTAGCTGGTGAGCTAAAGAGGAATAGCTAAAGAGGAATTTCAGAGCTGATGTTTTTTAAAGATCAGATTCATTAAAATCTTGTGCAGGTATTTTTTCCTTCTTCATTCTTTATTCTTCAGCCATGAGAGAAACACGTTGGTTCACATTAGCACAAAATATTGCAATATTGAAATATTTTCCTTTCCTTTTCCTTTCCTGTTGGTCTTTCACTAACTTTCAAAGGAATCTCAAACACCTGAGATTTCCCAGCTGTGATTTTATAACTTCCTGCATGGAAATAAAAGTAGAAGAGGTAGAATGCTGATCAGGGAAAAAGAAGCTGTGGAGAATGCTCTTCCAGGGACACTGAGTTGCCTGATGCCTTGACAGCTGCCATCTTGACTTTCATCATTTTGCTTGCTTTTGTTTGTGTCTTCCTGAGCATATATACCAAAAGTCAAGCTTTTTTAGTGACTCTAAGTCTGACACATAACAGAGATTCATAGATTGTGCCAGGTAGGAAAGGAGCATGAGATGCCAGCAATAATCTAAGATCTCATAAAATAACAAATGTACTCAAAAACCTGCTTTGATGTTTATTCTAATTCAAGAAATGGCACACAAATCACATGAGGTTACCCACTCCACTTGCCCATATAGAAAAGATAATTGGACATTTCTCTGTCCTGTTTTCACAATGATTTAAAATGTTTTACCCAGATAAGTGGGCACCCCATAGTATATTGGGATGTCTGATTATATGGCCTCCATTCTCAGATTGCACAGATGAGAAACCATCGATTTCCACTGAATACCATCCTAATTACATGAATGAGAAATCCCAATTCACAACTTTTCTGCATAAAAAATGTATTAGATATTATGTAAAATATGATACCCAATAGTACTTTTACATATCTGGACATCAGAATTGGTCACTTAGTAATGTCAGGGGAAAAACATGTTAAGAGAAACAAGAGACAACACACAACAAAATTCTCACTTTAGGATCCAGAGGTTTATTTCAATTTAACACACAAATTCAGTACTTACATTTCAACAACTTATTGCAACAAGGACCAAGTGGACTAGCAGTCATTAAGTATGATAGTTGGGCCAAGAGGCAACACCCAAATCTTTGAAGCAGGTTTTATACCTTAGCATTGTGCCCATCTCTAGCATTCTGGTGCCACCCAGTAGCCATCCCATTTCCCTCCCAGTTCCCTTTCACATTTCTCGGATCCCTCCTTTCAGGTCACTTCCCTATTCTTGGAACTGACCATTAGGTTAGTTTCTTATTCTTCCATTGTTGCCCTGGTTACTGGGCTACTTCCTTGTTCTGTCTTGTCTTTGTCCTATCCACCACTTTCCTCACTACCGTTCCTACACGTGTCATTGCAAAGATACACCCATACACAGGGTTTAGTTCCTCTTTTCTCCTACGTTCTTGTTCAGTGTTCCGTTTTTCTTAAGAATTTGTGCCGATCACAAATAGTCATCTTTTTCCTATGAAAAGATCAACAAAGAAGGTAAAAGTTA